AATCCTCAATCGCGTCAATCACATAATCGCTCAATCGCTAGGGTGATTACGGCTTTACTGCTTTTTCTTCACTATAAGATCTGTTATGTATTATACTTCATTTTGTATTGTATTTCTTACCGAAAATATGAGACTGCTTCAGCACTGCTATGTAATTACTTTCTCGTAAAGGTTGTAATGATGATTACTTTGGTGAATTACGCAACTTTCATAATTAATAATCGTCGATTATTTTAGCGATTAGTTCAGTATCCACTGTTATAATAGCTTAATAGTTAAATGTCGATTTCGAAGAATTATGATGTACTCAAATTAGAGTGAGATTCGAGGGTAGTTATTAAAATTAGATGGTTGGGGACACTCCCTTCTTTGCATTGATTGTGAAACGGAATCAGCCGCGAAGCATTTAACGAAATAGAGTGATGCGATGAAGAAGGAAATAGCGTGGAAAAGAGCACGTGTGTGACAATTATGGGCTCTCCCATCACGGTCGTTTTCCTAAAAAAACGGGAGGCTCGCTACCGTTTCCGCGAGGAACGTCGGTGATGCTTAACACCGGCGGGACTCGAAGACACCGCTCGCCGATGACAAATTACTTTCTCGAGCCGTGAACGGAATATTGGATTTCGGATCGACAAACATTGACCGTCCGGATGGCCCGGGTCCGGTACGCACAATTTGTAATGTAATGTCGGCAAACTACGCCGCTCACGCCGCCGTCGCCGTCGTTCCTGAGTGGGATGGAACGGTCTGTGTTTGTCGTCCTAATGCATAAAAGCCCATAATATTTTAACGCGGTCATTAAAATTTACCGCGGTGGGTATTTATCGGAGCCTCGGTCGACTTGAGCTAACAAGTTGCATGCTAGATTAAAAGCTTTAGCGATAATGTGTTTACTTCAATTATACATACGCTCGCGCGCTCTCGTTCCGCACACGCGGGTGTTGGACAGCGCGCGCGTATCGTGCAATTTATAATCTCCAAAGTGGTGTACTCTCGGCAGACAAGAGAGGGAGGGGGAGAGAGAACGCGCGCGTTTCCGCGTCGCGTTAATTTTCGTATAAATTTACCTTTCAATAAGTTCATTGTGTCGCCGATCGAGCGTTATTTTTCCAGTAATTAACGATCTAGCTTCTCAATCTGTGCGGCGAGCGGCATATTGTGCTTTCTGTGATTTTTATACACAACGCAGTCGTGGCTGAAAGTGGAATTTTTATATATAATTCATTTCGTGTCCGCGTAATTTTTCGATTTTATCAAAGAGCCTTTCATTTGAATCGACGATTCGTCGAAATATGATATGACTCACTCGAATTGCGTCCAATTGAAATAACACAAGTTTTTCCCCTCTAATTTAATTGGTCTAAACAATTAATCCAAATGTATATAAAGCTGTACCGTTGATGAAATCTCGATTGTAAAATTTTACTTGACTTTAATTGCCGATTGATGTCACCTCGACGGTATCAAAACACACCGCAGCCGCGAGAACGGAATTGCGAACGGAATTGTGTTGCGTGAAACTGTCCGACGGAATCCGGGGATCGACACGACGGTCCCGAGCAATCACGGGGGACTCTGAGAATCATTGACACTCGCGCGGGACCACCCGCGTCGCGTCGGCTTTGCCAAAGAAAGAGTCCCCCCGAGTCTCGAGAGGTTGTTTAAAGACGGGAACACAACATATACCTGCGCGCGTCTGGTATATACCCGGGGCCGCCTCTCTTGGCGGAGCGAGAGTCCACACGGTGTTTGCACAGAATTAGTAGAATAGCGGACTCTTGGTGCACGCCCGAACGGAGGGAGTGCGGGAGAGAGGACAAAGAAAGAGCTAGGAACGGGTCCGGCCCGGAGGGAGGAGGAAGGGGGGGGGGGAGAAACTTAAGGTACTGTGTTTTGTGTGCTTCCAAGATCGCGGCCCGACTCGACGGATCCCGTGGATCTCTCGACACGGGAAAAACAACACTCGGAAACTATCGGTGCTCCCACACTTTATTCCGGATTCCCACACATTGGGGGGTTTTTTTTTTTTTTACCGTCGATACAACTCCGCGATCTGATCAATGTTGCGTCATTAAAACTTCCGATGGCAGGGCACGACGCGCACCTTTTGGCCCGCCAGCACGTGAAACGCAATTGTGACAGATTTAATTTTATACACATCTCACGAGGAGAGTAAAGTGGGATTCTCGTCGTTCTGAGAGAACTCTTCAAAGTGAACGAGGGTTAAGGCTGTTACAATAGCTAATGCAGCAAAACGAACGAGCGAGTAGGGGTTGAATATTGATTGTCGGTTTTCATTCCAGATTGATTCAGACAGGCGTGACGGACGAATGCGTGTCCCGCGAGTGCGACAGGAATCGTTTGATGTCCCTCACGTGTCTTTTCTTACTTCGTTAAGTAATATCTCGTAGCACGTTGATGTGTAATTACGATTCACAAAACATTGTATCGTTCGATTGGCGCGCACCGGCAAATGTTTCAATTTATCTCATTGTATGTAACTAAAAAAAAAAAAAAAATCGATGGCATCGCACGTCTTCACTTTTAGAAAAGCAGTAATTATATTACTTTATTTATATAGATATACATCTCTAAAATGCTTTATAAATTGTTCTACGACTACAAAAATAAACTTTACTCGTTATTATTATTTATTAAAGATCCATTATTAGACTGACGCAAAAGGTTTGTCTTATATATCTGTCGGATAAAGTTGAAAATAAATTTCCCGCAAAATCGAAGCGAAACCACCACGAACTTTTGGTATATACTCTCTTTTTTTTTAACTCTTTTTGAAAAGAAGTTTTTTCAACGAGAGGCTTTTTTGATGAAAAACGGCAAACCTTTTACATCAATCTGACACTTTTATTCGCGAGCAAAATACATCCCATTTAATCCTTCATTTGATAATATGCTTCCAAACAACTTGGTCTTCTTATCGAGTTTTTGCTATAATGATCAAAATTAAACAATGTGTATAACAAGCTTCTCTCAATATTCAATTGATATTGTATCTAATTCAAAGATACAGATATTATCTATGGATATAAGAAACATGAAAACTGTAATGTATTTTTAGTCCGAGAAAGACTCGCTCGATTTTCGTCCCATCGAATGTTGCGCTGAACTTTTTCAAAAATTCATTTCAGGTGTGGTTTAAGAATCGTCGCGCCAAGTGGCGGAAGCAGAAACGGGAGGAGCAGGACCGCATCCGGAAGCTGCAGCTGGAGCAGCGTCAGCGTACCGACGACGGCGGCAGCGCGGCGACGGTGATGGTGGGCGATCGTCTTGGCCTGAGTAGACAGCAGCAGCAGCAGCAGCAGCAGCAGCATCAGCAGAAGCTCGAGCAGGACACGGACAGCTCCGACCTCGAGGTAGCGTAGTGCGGCTGTATGCTGACGACGAGACAGCACGAGTCTCGGCCATCGGTAAATCGAGAGGTGATCGAGGACGACGGAAGACGGCCCCGGTGCTTTTCACGCTCTTATTGACAATGTGTTTTGAGCATGTACATACGTGAACTGTGTTGTAAATACCATTGTAAATATTGACTAACGATGAATGTGTACAATACCGAAATAAATTATTGCATCGAAGCACGAAGTGCGGTGTGTCTGTCGTCTGGTCCCCTTAAAGCCGTAATCGCGCCAGCGATTATCAGCGATTGCGATTCACGATCGAGGATTGTTTTTCAATCGGTTAGAACGAAAGCGGTCACCGATTGCTTCGCTCCGATTGGTCGAGAAGACGATCCTCAATCGCAATCGCGCGATCGCTGACGTGATTACGGCTTAGGTCTGTTCCACGATCGAGTCGCAAACCTTAAACCGTAAGAAATTGACCGATCATTGTTGATTATTCTCTTGTCGCGTTCGACAATTTTTATACGACTTACAACTTACGATCCTATCGTGGAACAGGTATTACGCGTTTCGACGCATTCACGAAAGATATACGTCTTTTTTTATATATATAATAATACATTGAAGAAATAAGAATCTTATCGCGTAGCTTTTTTACGACGATACTCGTATTTATCGTATATATAGAGTTGCATGTACTGTCTGAAACTTTTGAAGTGAATCTCATTAAAAAAATCTCACTTTTAAAGATTAAAAATTGTGCCACTCGCTCTTTTCACAGACTGAAAAGACTCAATTTTCACTCTCCAGAGTGAAATTCCACTCCAAAGAATTTCGAGAGTATATATATCCAAATATTCGCGGAGATTGCGATGTTAACCGAGCCCGCCATCGAATCCTCTCTTTGCCACGACTCTGATTATCTCAATGACGTTAAGAGTAAAATTAATTATATAAAATTAATTTCGCTCGCTTCTCTCTCCGGCCCATACGCGGTTATAGTTTGTTGTTACTGCGATTTAAAATACACGTTTATTTCTCGATTCAATTTAATTACTCGTATAGATCAAATGAAATCAATTTGAATTAATTTAATTTTATCTGAAATTTTTCATGATTGATATCCATTGACCTTCAGTCTAATCCGAAGAGAGGAATATCAATTTGCCTCGATGTGATACCTCTTCATTGAGAGGGATTCTCTCGTTTACATATATAAGTGCAGCGAGGTGTCCATTTAGATCGCGAGAGAACTTTAAATCTCACGATACTTTTTCTCTACTATCGCTTATTATTATTGCTGGAGCGCAACCCGGGTTTTGCAACAATATTTTCTTATTGAAATCGCTTCGCTGTTGTGGAAAATACATTCCCGTTTATATAAACGTTTACACGGAGCTTCGATATTCCACCACGCATAAATATTAAAGCCCGTCGATCGTTTAGGAATTTTGAAACGCGTTGGAACTTTTTGCACCGCGCGGTTTTCCGGATAGGAGAGAGCTTAGGGGGTGAGTCAGTTCAATCAATTCTATACACTTAATATATAATTGCGCTGATAAGAGTTTAATTAAAAATTTCATCTATATAGAATAATGAAAACGTCATTTTTTATTTTACACACAGTTTCTTTTATAATCATATACATCGCATTCGGATTTTCTACTTATTCATTCTCTTCTCTTCTTTTGCCCATCGAACGCGAATCTCGACAACTTTCCCGCTACTTTCCCCGCGAATCGCCCGAAACGACGCTGCTTCTTGTCGCGCGGCTTACCACGTGGATCGAGGAGCGCGGAGTCCACCTCGACGATCCTGAGAATCTCGATGGGGTTCAGGGTGAATCGGTTGCGTTCCGGTGAGCCGACGATCAGCACGAGCACCGTCAGGAATTTGCGAAAGGACGTGGCTCTGAGCAGATACGCGGCGCCGTGGCCGTGTCGGAAGAGCGGCGGACCGTACGAGTTGACGTCGCACGCGTAGTAAGCGCCGCAGAACTTGAAGAGGCCGAGACAGGCGTTCTCGCACGTCAGGGCGGCGAAGTGATACCTCGTGAACACTCGCTCCAGGCACCTCCACAGGCACTCGTCCGACTCGGCGTACAATCTGCCGGTGACGGCCGGCAGCATCCGCGCCTCGAACAGGATCTCGCCGATGTCGAAGCATCCGGCGAGGTGCTTGAACGAGTAACCAGCAGCACCCCCGTCGCTGGTAGACTCGAGCTCGTGCCTGCTGCGCGTGTAATAACGATCCCCGCACACGACGATCGCGTCGAGGGTCCTCGAGGTCCAGTATTCCGGCGCCATGATCCTGGTCATGCCGGCGCACACTACGTAACAGGCGTACGTCTGCATGCCGCGGTTCGCCTCGTCGAACGTGTCGTCGGTAATGTGTACCTCGCCCCACAGGGAGAACAGTCTGTTTGGCTCTTCGACGTAGTACTGATGCCATCTCGCTTTCCCGGCGGCGGCGGCGGTCACCTCGGTCGAGTCTGGCCTCTTCCGGTTCGCGCACTTGCCCCAGGTCGTCGCTCGATAACGCTTCAACCACGCGGCTCTCTCCCTCGGCTCCCTCGGCTCGCCCACCTCGTCCTCCTCTCGATCGGGCTCGTCCTCTTGATCCTCGATCTCGAGCGTGTCCGACGGACACTCGTCGGCGCGTCGCGGTCGTCTCGACGGTCCGCGCTGCAGCAGCTTCAGATTGTCCAGCTGACAGCGGCGGAAAGACACGTGGAAGAGCTCGACGTCGATGTAAACGTTCCCCTCATCCTCGTAGTCGGATTGATAATCGAATCGCGACTTCTGCTCCTCGTAGGCGTGGGCTCTCAGCATGAGGATCATCAGGTGCCGCCGTAACGAGTCCTTGGAACAGAGCTTCACGATGCAGGCGTAACCGCCGTCTTTCCAGAAGCCGTACTGATCGCACTGGTAGGGGTTGTACAGATACCAGAACAGACCGTCCTGCCAGAAGGCCAGGGAGAACCTGGCCGTGCGCAATATATAGTCACGGTAGCCCGTGATCGTTTCGTCGAGCCACTGCTCGAGCTGTTTCGGCAGCTCGTCCTCGTGCACGGGCATATAATTCGAATCCGTCACCTTATGACAGCCGAGTTCCACCTCGACCTTCAGGGGATCCCTCCTACTTAACGTAATCGGTGGCCTCAGACCACTCTCTTTGTACCAGTTGTCGACGAATTGCGCCACGACATCTTTCATCTCCCCGATCAGTTCTACCTCGACGCTGTATTTGTAATTGTACACAACGATATCGTCCAGACGCTGCCGCGGCTTCACGTTGATCGAGCCGATGTGGGTGAAGAGCATCCAGGCGTGATCGTAGATGTAATCGATATTAGCGCTCCACGCGTATTTGTATCTTCCGTGGAAAGATTTCGCGTATACGGATATAATGTCATTTTTAAAAGAGAGACGACAACTTCTCGAAAGGATTCTGAACTCTCGTAAAAGAGTATACGCGCAGTTTAAATTACGTCACGCAGAGGTTGACTCAAATGCCACGCGCGTATACGTCTTACCTCGGCGAGAGTTTTTCCTTCCAAATAAATTTCGAACAGAAGAGGCGAGTCTCGAAAATTGCGTGATCGGATTGAAAATTGAAATAATTTGATTCGCTTTCAAACAAATTATTCCCATCGGCAGACAAGCTGACGTTACCCGTCGTAATTTCGACATTCGGAGAATGACGATAAATAACGTCAGCTTGTTTAATGAGATCACCGTCTCGATTATCCTGCTTGACACGTACCTGAGCTGAGTTTTCGCTAATAACGCCACGACCGCTTGATAGAAACAGAACTTCCAAGTATTCCTGCGCTCCCGCAACGTGGTAATTTCCACCAGATGCATACCCTTCATCCCGCGAAGAATCACATTGGCGTAAACACGGTTGGACGGCAGCTCCACGAAGACGTAGTCACCGTTTACCAAACCGGGACGTTCGCCGATCGAGCGATCCACGGATAATTTCAACTTCGCTTCCGAATACGACACCGGCACACGTACGTGGCCTAGCTCCTTGAGATTGGCGAAGTCGCTTCTCTGCTGATCTCGAAGAAATTCGTCCTTGTCACCGTCCGAGTCATAAGGGAAAACGTCTCTTCGTCTTTCCTTTTCCCAGTCCATCTCCAGCCCGATAACCTCGTCTCGTGCAAAGAGCGGCGGTACACTCGGCCATAATATTCCGCTTCCGTTTCTCGGCATCCTCCGATGTATCGCTGTCTGCAGAAAATATCGCAAATACCTAAGGAACTTCGCATGCGTCCGCAATACAAGCAAGAAAATAGGTAATGAAGGGGTAAATAAAATAAAGTGTACGATCTTCGCGATAATTATAACAATAAAATGTTAATTTTAACTCAAAGACGTTGAGTGGATGTTAAAGTTAACATTTTTGCATGTCTTAGAAAATCCACTCAATGTCTTTGAGTTAAAATTAACATTTTATTTTTTACAGTATACATATAATACGGTCTTAAGCCGTAATCACCCTAGCGATTGCGCGATTGTGATTGACGATTGAGGACTATTTCTCAACCAATCAGCAAACCGATTACTTTGTCCCGATTGGTTGAGAAATAATCCTCAATCGTCAATCACAATCGTGCAATCGCTAGGATGATTACGGCTTTATGAGACTTTGTTGAGAGAAGTGTTTCGTATAATATATCGTGATTTTACACAAAAACCTTCTTATCTTTTAATTAAAAAGTTGTTTTAATCAAAATTTGATTATTCCAATATAAATTTTTTTTTAAATCTCACGCATCGTACAAAATATTTTCTTCAATATTCAGTTCCACAGAGATGTGACAAAGGAAACATAATACGCTAATTAAATTAAATAAAGAACGATTTGAGCGCATTTTTCTAATAGAGTTCCGTTTCTAACCGGCTGTCTCGTCTTCATGCTTCTCCAGATTCGTGTCCTTCTACATGGATCTAATTCAACGGTCGTTCTAGCCTGATGTTCAAGCTGAAAATCGTCGAGCGGAAAGCACTTGATAGTTTCCGTGTCAGACAGTCTCGTGATATCAGACGTTTTCCACTTGCTTTTCTCCTCCGGATTCGACTCTAATCTAGGTGATGCCTCGTGCAAATTCATCAGTCTATCTATCTAAACGAGAGATAAAGTTCGCAATTGAGGAAAAGAGCCTCACGTGTCCCTTACGATTTCATTTCGCTAGTAAACCCCTTGTCCATCCAAGGTCTCTTCTTCTTAGTGTCTTCATTCGTTTCATCTTTAATGCTGTGATATTTCGAAGGTATTCGACCATCGCTTGTCACACTTTCCGTACCAGACTCCCCAAAAGTATCACTGGCCTCCGTCTCATCCTCGGTTTGACTCTCCGGTTCCGTCATGCTTTAGCGAAATTGGATTAAAGCAACCTTACGAAATAATTTTTCAATATCACGCAATTATAAAAGTCTTGCTATGGGACTGCAATTAGAATTCATATCTCCATGTATTTGATTAATTTAACATGTATTAAACTTTCGAGAAACTTAAAATATGCCGGATATGTAATAAGAATGTCACACATTTGCAATTTTGACATCAGACATAACCGCCGTGTTGAGACAGCAGAGACAGCTTCACGCAATACGTACACATGCATTTGGTTCACAGATACATAAAGGGATATCTGACTTTAGATAGCTTCTTTATGTCGATGATTCAGATTATTTTACATCCCGACTTGACATCCTTTTAAAGAAAGGAGATACGTATGCATACAATATATTATAAATATACAAATATAATTATGAGTTTATAATAATATTATTACTGGTGACAATTGCACTCTAAACACTGTTATACTGTAAACTATTGTACTTACCAATGGACTTCTTTTGGAACAAATCCGCTCGGATATGATCCGGATTCAAAGTGAGAGAAAGGGCGAAGGGGGGGGGGGCAAACACTCGAAAATGGCTGGTTTGAATTTGTATAGGCCCTCGGAAGACCGCAGAGAGAGAGAGAGAGAGAGAGAGAGACAGGAGGGTTCCTCGGGAGAACGCCGGGACGGCTTCCCGAAGCTGAAAAAATACCGGGTACCCGATTGAAGGGCGAGGGGAGGGGGGGAGGAGAAGGAAGCGCGTGTAGCCTCGATTTATCCCGTTTCGTTCGCGTACGATTTTGTAATTATTTTACTGCTGGCGCAGACGAAGCCCTACGAGCGGCAGGCAGGCAATCTCGAACGCGCGCGAAGCCCGCCGGTGACGCAAGATTTTCAAAGTGTTTATAAAATTACGGGGGGCGCGCGATACCGGCGCGATCGCGCGCGACCGAAATAACGCGAAACCGTATACGATCGTACCGGCCGGCGGCTCCGTATTCAAATCATTATTGGATTTGGGAGCCCCGCTCGTGCACGGATGACGAACAAATAAATCGTATTTCGAATGCGGCAAAGTCGACGCCGCGGTTCTCCACGCCGTGGATCGGCAAAAGTGCCGAGATCGTTTCTTCGAGTCGAAACAATTGCTTCAGACTCTCTCTCGCGTTACGCCCGTCGGACCCGAAAGATCCGAGCAGCTTAAGATTAAAGTTCGAAACGTTCGAATCGTTTTTCGAACCACGCTGGAAAAATTTCGCGCCCTAATCGAAAATTCAAAGTCACGCGCACAAATTTTAAAACGATCCGGGAGTTTCGTGTTCGTTTTCGTTACTTTCATATTTTTTTGGAGAACGAATTTGATTTGTTATTCTTATTTTGGAGCATTTATCACGCTCGTTTTGGCCGCTTCTTATCTTACGAGACAAATTCCAATCTTTGTTTCAGCTAAATTTACAGCATTATAATTAAAGCTGTGTTCCAAAATTTTACTGTCAGTTTTGAGAATCTACAGTGCACTCTTTAAATGTTTTTAGAGTGCAGTCTCACTCTATAGAGTGAAAATTGAGTCAGTTTTGAAAAAAAAAAAAAATGGCTCAATTCAATTATAATTTTCTGATAGCAAATTTGGATCGCAGCCTAAGTTACAATTTTACATTAATGATAGGGTAAACTCGGGTATGATGGCCATAGTTTTTTAAAATGCAAAAAACATACATTTATTCCTGTTACTTTTTAATAATATTTGGGATATTACTTTCATTGAAGCTTAAAGTAACAAATACTATCGAAATTAAAGAGAAAACACTTAACAGAACTTTAATATTATCAAAATATTACAAAGTAAGCATTGGCCATCTTATCTGATTTTTAGGGATAAGATGGCCATGATATTATAGGATAGCTGACCATACATATTTTATGTTAAAAAAAATCAAACAAAGATTTATTAAGGAAACCAAACAAAGACTTTTATCATTGATAATAAAAAAAGATTTATAATAAAAAAAACAATGTTTTTTATGTTTATTACTTATCAGTTTTTGAAATAATTTTGCCACACGTTTGACAAACATCAACAAATGATGTACAGGTTTCATGTAACCACCGTTTGCAACGGATGCATTGAATCCAATCTACTTTTTCCATTGTGAACTTATAATCCTTTTCACGTTACTACGAAAAAAAGTGAGCCATCTTACCCTAACTGTAACGGAAAGATAGCCATAGTATTTATAAATAAATAGTGAAGATAAAAATATTAATTATAGGTTACATTGAAATTTACGTACATTTATTGTGTATGTAATGTCGATTACAGCAGCTTAACTGTAATTTATTTGATATTATAACAGTTTTTAGCAGACATTTGGAAAACTTTGCAGATAGTCGAAAGAAAAAATATTAGATAATATTTATAATATTATTATTTTGAATAGTGTATTTACATAAACTACTGTAAATATTGATTATTTATAAGAAAGAATAGAAAAATGCACTATTTAGTAATTATTGGGGAAATTATGACTTATGGCCATCTTTTCCGTATGGCCATAATACCCGAGTTTACCCTATTCATTTCACCTTCTATTACACACGATTGACGTTCTCTACGTTTAAAGACAGGGATAGTTACAGCTCGGGCATCAGCGGATATTAGGAAAAAAAAAATCGCTTATCCGCGGGCCGTGTATGCGTTAACCGAAAAAAAAAACAGGTAACTTGTAAAAATCGAAGGAAAATACGTATGCGTGGTTGCGCTGGCGAAAATTAATATCCGCGGCTTTTGTACGCGTTTGTTTGCGGGTTTGCGTTTCGCCGACGATCAAAGCGACGAGGCGGTTTTGCGCGAAAAGCGCGACGTAAAGTTTTTAACGCCGAATGAATTCAGTAACGCGCGCAAAGGACGGACGCCGTAAGGTGTGTACGTTTCGTTTTTCGCGGCTGAGAAACGGGCATCTGCCGCTGTTAACACCCGGTATTACGGCATTTCCGGAGTATTCCCGTACGCGATTTTCCTCGTGGCCGTTCGACGAAAGCTTTCTCGCGGGTGACCGGAGAATATATCCCGTGGGATGTACAAAGTCGAAGTGGAATTCGAGAATCAGCCTGACCCTCGCCGTCACGTCTCGGGGAGAAATTCTCCGATGGGTATAGAAGAGCGAGGAGCTCGCTAAAAGGGGGACGAGTCGAAGATCTGGACAATTCCCGGTGAAAGTTTAATGGAAGATTCACGGGAGACACTGGAAGACGTAAACTTCACGGGGACGGATTGATTGCTTTGCGTGCCGTGGCTAAAACCACCACCAGAGAGCACACACACATTAATGAATTATCACGATCGATTATTACACACGGGGGTTCCCCGCAGCCGCGAACTTCGGCAACTGATCTGTATAAATCTTGAGTCCCCTGACTACATCGTTACTGTTTAAAGAGAAAGTAACCACGGTCGGTTGTGAAGGATAATTATTGCCTCGCCACTGTGGTTTTTTACAAGCCGTCACCTGAGCTTTAAAGTCTTAAGAAATTAATCGATCATGGGCCTTCTACAATAAGCCATTACTTAAGTTTTAAGTGTTAAATCATAAGAAATTTACCAATCACAATCGAATGTGAGAAGAATAATCGACTGTGAGTGGTCAATTTCTTACGACTTAATACTTGAAACTTAGGTAATGGTAGAAGGCCTATCATAATTGATTATTCTCCTCAAATCAATTGCGACTGATTTGCAATTTCTTACGGCTTTTAAAGTCAGGTAAGGGAGATTAGAGTGAAAAGTTGAAACACTTAAACAACAAAAGTGTAACGAAGAGATATAAGAGTTTGTAATATAAATAATTACAAACTTCTATCTTCCTTGTGTGTGTATTTGTTTCTAATGTTTTTTATGTAAATGTTACAACTTCCCCTTGTTACTTTCGGCTCCAGTCTCCCCTGTAATGGTTTATTGTAGAGAGTCAATTACAGAACCTTCGAGCGAGGAAATTGATCGCTGGTAACCATTTTTTTCTGTTAAGTTTATTTTACAATTGCGCGAGCGTGGTTCAATAAGTGATCGTAAGAATAATTGACCAATCACAGTTGAATATTCTTCTCATATTCGACTGCGATTGGTCAATTATTCTTACAATTACAATTATTTACATCTACCCTTACGCAATTGTGGAATGAGCTTTAACCAAAAAAGCCACAAGATTCTAAAGATTCAGTAATAAGAGTTTTGGTCAAAGTGACTCAGCCTTTCGATTGATCATTACTTATATGATCCACTCGATACGTTCAGATAACTGTATACATTTTTGGAACGTGGGGTAAAATAGAAGAGAAGAAGAAAAAAAATAGCCGTCTATCCGCCGTTTTTATTATCTTTCACTAAACTCTTATTAGGATCTCTGCGAGATTTACAATATTAATAGTGACACTCGACCGATCGGATTAAACACACACGAGTGAAAAATGTCACATTTGGCCAAGGCGATTCTTTATGCGTAATAATATTTTTCGGGGAATTTATACAAATTTTACAGTTTTAAGCGAACTGTTGTACGAGACTCGTATTTTTCTGGACTGCAGCTGGACCGAAATTATTATAAGACTCGCGAGGATGCGTATCAATGGTTTCGGGCAGCTCGCGGCGCGAGAATCGTCCCCGAGGGGTGAAGCGAGGAGAAGCGGATTGCTCGTGTACACATATAACATGTGCATACGCCTACGCGTATAATACATATTCGCTCGGGAAGGAGGATCGGAGAGAAGGGAGCGAAGGGGGAGGGAGGGAGGGGGTAGTGGGAATGCGCGGCGAGAGGGAGAGGGAGAGAGAGAGAGAGAGTGCAAAATAAACAGCGCATTATATGCAATAACGCACAAAACACCCCTACGGCTATGCAGTCATCTCCTTCGAAAGATTCGGCCCGCGAGTGCGCGCGCGGGCAATCCAATTAATTTTATTTTAATTACGGCATCGTCGGGCATACGCCGATTGTTATTGTTTCGACGTCGATGAATCGACCGTCGCACCGTAATTTTGCCGCTGACAATTTCCGCCGCACGGCGTGTGTCCCGCGACGCGCGACACCTGTGCAAATGGGCGCACACACGCGCGATGCGTTTCTTCTCAAAATAGCTCCAAAATTCCCGAGTTATTTCTTA